GTGGCACAAGCCTGTAGTTCCAGCTACTTGGAAGGCTGAGACAGTAGGATCACCTGAGCCCAGCAGGTCGAGACTGTGGTAGCTGTGAGCATGCCAGAGTGAGATTCTGACTCAAAAAAAGAAAAAAGAAAGGGATTGGCAGTAGTGGGAAACTGCCAGAGGAAGACAGAAGTGGGACTGGCAGCAGTGGGAAACTGCTGGGGGAAGGGGGTGCACCTCATCAACAAGAGTACCTGTATAGCTGGGCACAGTGGCTCACATCTATGATCCTAGCACTTTGGGAGGCTGAGGTGAGAGGACTGCCTGAGCCCACAGGTTCGAGACCAGCCTGGGCAATTTGGGGAGACCTCATCTCTACAATAAAAAAAAAAATTAGCTGGGCATAGTGGCACACACCTGTAGTTCCAGCTACTTGGAAGACTGAGGTGGAGGGATCACCTGAGCCCAGCAGGTCGAGACTGGGTGGCCGGGGGCGTGCCACTGCCCTCCAGCCTGGGCAACAGAGTGAGATTCCAATGCCAAAAAAAAAAAAAACAGAATTAATAAAACAAACAAAAAAAGAAAAAGAAAGAAAAAAAGAGTACCTGTATAATGAACATCTATATACCTAACCCTGAATTGTGTACCCCACATCTACAAAATAAAAAGAGTGGCATGCTCCCAGTCACCACAGCCTCAACTTGCTGGGCTCCGGTGATCCTTCCACCTTAGCCTTCCAAATAGCTGGAACTACAGGACCATGCCCGGCTCATTTTTTATTTATTGTAGAGACCAGGTCTCAGCAAGTTGCCGGAGCTGGTCTCGAACCCACGGGCTCAGGCAATCCACTCGCCTCAGCCTCCCAAAGTGCTGGGATGACAGGCTGAGCCACTGGGCCCAGCCTCTACTACTTTCTGAACAGTCTTTTGCTCTTCCCTGTCCAATTTCTCCACCTTTCAGATGAAGTAGGCTACTACCATTAGTCTGGGAACTTAGATACTCAACAGCGGAACTCTTCAGCATCCTTCTTATCAAGTTGTTATTATGAAAGGGGACAGGATATCCTGTGTTACAGGACACCCACCGGGAAGGTGGCCACCGATAGCATGAAGGTGTTGCCCTTGAAGATTCAACGATATCTTGGCCATGAGGCGGGAACATCTCACAAAATCATCATGTGTGCAGGCCTGAGAGATGGGTCATTCCTGGAGCTACAGCAGGACCGAGGCCCAGCTGGCCTGGTTCAATTCCACAAGAGCTCAGGGAAGCTCAGGTTAGCAGGAAGCCAGCCCTCTTCTCTATCCCTGCATATGTGCTCTCCCAGGCATCATGCAGACCGTTTGTTAAAGATTTGTCATGGCCGGGCTCTGTGGCTCAGTCTATAATCCCACGCTTGGGAGGCTGAGGTGAGTGGATTGCCTGAGCCAGCGGGGTTCAAGACCCGCCTGGGCAACTTGGCAAGACCTCATCTCTACAATAAATCAAAAAATTGGCCGGGTGTGGTAGTGCTCCTGTAATTCCGGCTACTCAGAAGGCTGAGGCGGAAGGATCGCCGGAGCCCAGCAGGTCAAGGGTGTGGTGGCCGGGAACGGCCACTGCACTCCAGTCTGGGCAACAGAGTGAGACTCCAACTCAAAAAATAAAAAATAAGGATTTGTCACAAGTATCTGTCCTGCTCCTTTTTCCTTCTCACCTCATGAGCCAAATGATACTCCAAAAGGGGTCTCTTAGGTAAACCCAATTTTAGTTTTTCACTTCATTTTTTGTTTTGTTTTTTTTTTTTTGAGTTGGGGGCTGGCTATGTTGCTCAGGCTGGAACACAGTGGCTTTTCACAGACACGTACAATCACTGCACACTACAGCCTCAAACTCCGGGGCTCAAGCAATCCTTCCGTCTCAGCCTTCTGAGTAGCTGAGTCTACAGGCATGTGCACACAGGCCCAGTGGTTCTTTAATGCTTATAATGCCTTATCAAAGTGGATGTATTTTCCTAACCATTACCTGGTATTATGTACTCACACCTGTACTGCCAAGTTAAAGATACCACATATCACCACATATCAACATCACACAGATTGTGTCCCCAGGCCTCTGGTGCAAATTTTTAAAAAACACCCTACCCTCAACACTGACTTCCATCTCTCGAGGCAACATTAATCTTACTTTACAGATGAGAAAATTAAGACTCAGAGGTTAATGGCCAGTGTCCCATATTCCCTTGAAAGTACAATAGAAAGTCCGTATGTTGACTCTGAAAGCACATTAGAAAGTCCACATTATTACATTATTACAAAGCAAAAAAGTCCACATTATTACGTTATTACAAAGGAAAAAAACATCCTTGAGTGATCAATCAGGCACACCATGCCAGGCTTCATGCAGCCAAATGTTTACAAACCTGCTAAGGTTAGACACTGTGTTAGGCCCAGCCAGTTTTCTTCCTCAAAAGAACTGTCCCCCTTGAGAAAAAGTCTGTAAAACCAAAATTTTCTGCCGGTTTATGCAACGATGAAGCTACAAGATGTGAGGACACCATGAATGCTGAGGCGTGTTGACAACTGAATGAAATGCATGTAGGCACAAACTTGAGACACAAAGACAAACAAAACCATGACCAAAGTGCACAGCTCAGGGCAAAAAGCAAGGACTAGTGGTGTTCTTCTAGACACTAAGCGTAGTTTGCATTCTATTTTACCCTTGCTCAAGAAGAGCTTTGAGACGTGTCTCCTTTTCATAAGCGATTCAGTTAGCACCGTTAATTCTTATAAAGGGGAAACACGAGAGTGTACGTTCGGGATAAGAAAGCATATATGGACCAGGCTCGGTGGCTCAGCCTATAATCCCAGCGCGTTGGGAGGCCGAGGTGAGTGGATTGACCAATGTGTCCAGTATGAGCAACAGAGTGAGACTCCAACTCAAAAAAAAAAAAAAAAGAAAGCATATACATACATAGCTATAACATCTGAATTTTCTATATCAATTGGAATAAACCACAAATTACCAGTCTTTCAGTCTTAAGGCAAAGAGGGGCAGGGTCATGTCAATTTGGACTAAGAAAAAATTTTTAAGAGGCAGAGGCTCAGAAAATGTCAGTCACTGGGGACAGGCAGGCACATCAATGGATAGGCTCTATCCTGGAAACCCATAAATTACAAAAGTTCACCCTTCCCAGAAAATAGAAGCTCCTTATCTGCAAAACAAATTAAAGAGCGGCTTCAAGTATCTCAGGGAGTCCCTGCACTCCGCCTCAACTCACCTGTTTACTGATTCCTAAAGTTACACTAAAAAAAAAAAAAAAAAAAACCAAACATGTAACTTGATAAAAAGCTTTGCTAGACTCATTTACACCAAAGGAGCATGGAAAGTTACATATGTGGTTTCCGCATTTCGTGGAAAAAAGGGCTAAGCCAGGATAGAAGCTGGATAGAGCTACAGACTTCAATTCTGCTGAAAGGCAGCTCTGCTTACCTCTCGGGAAGGGACAGGCAGAAGCAGGTAGCTCTCTCTCACAAGTTCTGAGATTTCCCTTTTTTGAGACAGTTTGACACACTGAAGCTTTATGATAAGGAAATTCATGGTAGTCTCTAAACTGACGAATGCAAAAAGGGATAGAAGTCTGGACTCCAAAATCAGGAAGCAGAACCCTTCTCGAGAGAGGCTCAAAGTCTCTTTTCTTCTAATTATTCTCACATGATTTTCCAACATTGAGGTACCTTACCAACACTGAGGTTCATGACTTTCTCCCAGAGTGACAACACAGTAAGTTAAGTCGAGCTGAGACTGGACACTGAACAATCTCACTTGAAGGCTCACACTTTAACTGGCCACTTGGCCAGAAATGCCCACTGCCTTTACATAAGACTGATGCAAACAGTCACTAACTACCTTCCCTGAAGTTTTGATTCCTTCTCAGCAAGGCAGTCAGACACAACTAGGTCCTCTTGCTGGTTTACACCACCCCCTTAGGAATCCAGTAAGGCAAACGAAGGCAATTGTCACCTAATAAACTTCAAATATGCGCTGAGTATGGTGGTTCACACCTGTAATGCTTGCACTTTGGGAGGCGGAGGCAAGAGGATTGCCTGAGCTCAGGGGTTTGAGACCAGACTGAGCAGCACGGGCAAGGCTGTGGTGGCCGTGAACATGCCACTACATTCTGATTAAAAAAAATATTCAAATATGCACTCTAAGTTTTAATTTGCTCTAAACCGATTCATCAAGCATCCCCCTGCCCCTTTTTTTTAAAGATTCAAGGAGTACATGTGCAGGTTTGTTACATAGATATACTGCAAGTCAAACATCCTTTTTTTTTGAGTCAGAGTCTCACTCTATCTCCCAGGCTGGAGGGCAGTGGCATGCTCGCGGTCACTGCAGCCTCATCCTGCTGGGCTCAGGCAATCCTTTTGCCTCAGCCTTCCGAGTAGCGGTAATTACAGGCGTGCATCACCAAGCCCGGCGAATTTTTGTATTTATTATAGAGACAACGTCTCAGCCGCCATGTTGCCCAGGCTGGTCTCGAACTTGTGGGCTCAGGCAATCCTCTCACCTCCGCCTCCCAAAGTGCTGGGATGACAGGCATGAGCCATTGCGCCTGGCCAAACATCCATTTCTAACATGAGTCTTCCAGTGTTCTCACCCTGCCGATTCCCCAGCAAATCCACTGGAATTGAAGAAGGTAGATCAGTAACTCTGTCACGCAGACCAAGCAGCTCTATGAAAGCAACATACAAAGCACATGGAACAAACAGCAAAACACTGATCTCTTCTGTGAATTTTATTGAATTCAAAGGCTGTATTCCTTCTTGAGAAATAAAAAATCAGGTCATACAAGCAAGCAGTGTGAGGCACACCGGTGATGAGGCATGTTCAGTCCATGCCAGAGCAGACACTCGTTGTCACCATGGCCCACGTGAAGGTGCTTTTATTCAGTACAAACAGTCGCAGGGACAACACAACGGCCACAGAGTGAGACCATAAGCACACTTAAGTTTTTGGTGAGTCTAGCTAGCCTATTATTCTCTTCGTATCTGCTCATGCCACAGACTTTAAAGCTTTTCGTTTAGCTAGAAATAACCACAATGAAGGACCCCCCCCTTCCTAGCTATGTGCTTCCCAATTTAGAGCTGGGTAGCAGGTTAGTTTCAATATAACACAGTGTCATCTGGCTGGCTGCATTGTGCACTGGTGATGGGTCAGCTGAATGAGTTTTGGGCTCAGACTGGCTGGGTCTCCTGGCTAGTCCTTATCCATCTCCGCACCCTGGACCTGAGCATTCTGAGACTCAATCAGCTGAGGATAAAAGGGACCTACCAGCCAGTTGAGGGGAGTGTTGTTAACAAGATAATCCATCACTTCATCTAAAGATTGCTTCATTTTCTGCAGCTGTCCCTTGCTAGAAGTGAGGAGGCTGTCAGACACTTCTTTAAAGGAGGCGGCACTGCGGAACACTGAGCAGATGTCGCCGGCCATCACCCCCACGTGGTGAGCCTGATCTTGGATGTTCTGTGGTAACCCTTGGATGTTGGACAGGAGGGTGTGGCATGTGGTCTGGAGCTGCTGCGTCAGGTGGCGGGCAATGGCGAGGGTGCATGACTCGATGTGCTAAAAATAAAACAAACTTGAGAATTAGCCGTGGCTCCCACCGCACTATGTACAGATGAGTTCAATCCCAGGAAGTTGGTTTTTTTATCCACACATGTGGACTCTCTGACCTTTGAAAACCCTCATAACAGTGCTGACTGCAGCAGTATTCTTGACTTTTCACAGGCAGGATCATAAGCTTAGAGTTTCAATAAATGGCTCCAGTTAACAGCTGGCATATCCATGAGTGGGAATTCAAACTCGTGCCTGAGTCTCCAAAGGTTATCGTCTTAAATGAAAGAAACACGACAGGCAGGGAGACACCAGAACCAGCCAGAATGAAAATACATACCACAGCAGTAGTGTGGTTCAGACATCCCCTCTTCCTAAGATGACATTATATGAACAGTCGATACTGATTTCAGAGGTAAAGGTATGCCTGCTATTTGGACGCAAAGAGCCACTTTCTAGAAGGGCAAGATGCCATTTCATCTGTCAGGAACATCAGTCTCCTAACTGCCTTTTCCCTTATCTTGTTCCCACATTAGTTCTTTTTCTTTTTTTCTTTTTGAGAAAGCAGGATTTATTGAGAGGACAGAGAAACTCCCACGGTGGGAGGGGATCCAAAGGGGTTGCCCCCATTTAGTTCTTAGCTTATTACTCATCTTTTCCAGGAAGTCATGTGACTCCCCCCACCCCCCTCCCCACTCCACTGAGACTGTCCAAGGTAGCCTACCCATCTCTTCTCCTAACACCTCTAATTTTCCTATCATAAAACACTACGACAATATAGCCGCCTCTATCCCCTGCCAGTCTGTACCCATTAGGAGAGCAAGGCCCATGCTTCTTTTAGTTGTATCTCATTCAGGGCCTAGACATATCTATAGGTTATTGGATAACAAGACTCCCTCGCCAGTTTTTCTTTGCTGTCACATGATAAGCCACCCATGTACACCATATTGTTCACGGGACACTCTTCTGACAGAGAAAAGTATTATAAGAATTATGGAATCATTGAAATGAAAAGTCTGATAAGAAATTTCTTCAGAAAATAACCATACTGAACGACTGGCCCAGCCATCTTACCTCAGCACAGTGGGATTCATCAGTATCATCATGGCCAATGCTTCTTTTCCACTCCAGCCAGGAGACATAGAGCTTATCCTGAGCATCCTGAATCTTCTGGTTGGCACTATGCACATTCTTCCTTGCAAATTCGATCTAGAACATATTGAAACAAGACAAAGAAACAAACTATCAGACATTCGTGTCAGCCTACATGCGGATCTATGGTGTGGATCAGGCAACATAAAGAGGAATTTCCCTTGGCTGGGCATGGTGGCTCACACCTATAATCCCAGCACTTTGGGAGGCCGAGGTAAGAGGATTGCCTGAGTCCACGGATTCAAGACCAGCCTGGGCAACTTGGTGAAACCTCCTCACCACAATAAATCAAAAAATTAGCCAAGTGTGGTGGCACGTGCCTGTAGTTCCAGCTACTTGGAAGGCTGAGGCGGAAGGATCGCTGGAGCCCAGCAAGGTCAAGGCTGCAGTGATCATGAACATGCCACTGTACTCCAGCTGGGGCAACAGAGTGAGACTCTGACTAAAAAAAAAAAAAAAGAGGAGCCGGGCTCGGTGGCTCAGCCTATAATCCTGCGCCTTTGGGAGGCTGAGGTGAATGGACTGCCTGAGCCCACAGGTTCGAGACTCCCCTGGGCAACTTGGTGAGACCTCATCTCTACAATAAATCAAAAAATTAGCCGGGCGTGGTGGCACGTGCCTGTAGTTCTAGCTACTTGGAAGGCTGAGGTGGAAGGATCGCTGGAGCCCAGCAGGTCGAGGCTGCAGTGGCCAGGAGTAGCCACTGCACTCCAGTCTGGGCGAGAGTGAGACTCCAACTCAAAAAAAAGAAGAATTTCCCAAGAGTTTAATGAGAGCTATCCCTGCCATCATTGTTATTTACTACCAATATGTGAAGGTTAACCAAGGAGTAGTAGCTCTTTACTGCATCCATTTAACTATTAAGCCACTGACTCCACATTTACTTCTAGTTTAGCACAAGTAAGACAACTAACATTTAATTTCTATGAAGGATAAGTTAAGAATTACAAAACAGAGGATGGGCGCAGTGGCTCATTCCCTTAAATTCCAGAACTTCCAGGCCAAGGCAGGAAGAATGCTTGTGCCCAGGAGTTCAAGACCAGCCTGGGCAACATAGCAAGAATGCATCTCTACAGAAAATTTTTAAAAATTAGGCCGGGTGTGGTAGCTCATGTTTGTAATCCCAGTACTTTTAAGATGTTTGTAATCCCAGTACTTTTGAGAGGACTACCTGAGCCCAGGAGTCTTGAGACCTGCCTGTGAAACATGGCAAGACCTTGTCTCTACAATAAAATTTAAAAATTAGCTGGGCATGGTGGTTAGCTACCTGGGAGGCTAAGGTGGAAGGACTGGCTGAACCCAGCAGATCGAGGCTGTAGTAAGCCGTGACCGTGCCACTGCACTTCAGTCTGGGCAACAGAGTGAGACTCTGACTCCAAAAAATAAAAAATAATTAGCCAGGCAAGATAGTGGTGCATGCCTGGAGTCCCAGGTACTTAGGAGGCTGAGGTGGAAGGATCTCTTGAGCCCAGGGAGTCAAGGCAGCAATAAGCAAAAAAAAAAAAAAAAAGAATCACAAAACACGAAGGAATTCAATCTTCCCCTTCCCTATTGCCGGTCACCATTTCTCCTTCCAAGAATAAATGGTTTTCTTATGACAGTATAGTACTGCACAACTGTTCTGTAACCTGGCAACCTTTGATGGCTGGCTACACAGTAGCCTGTTGTGATGTATCAGTTTAGTACCCTACTAGTTGATGGACCACTGTTAGGTCTCTTGCAACTTTAAACAAAATATACACATATGTAGGATAGAAAGAAAAACTCTGCCAGGCGGGGTGCCTCATGTCTATAATCCCAGCACTTTGGGAGACCAAGGTGAGAGGCTTGCTTGTGCACAGGAGTTTGACACCGGCCTAGGCAACATAATGAGATCTCATCTCCACAAAAAATTAACCCAGCACGGTGGCATATGCCTACAGTCCCGCTACTCAGGAGGCTGAGGTAAAAGGATTGCCGCAGCTCAGGAGGTTGAGGCTAATGTGAGCTGTGATTGTGCCACTGCACTCTAGCCTGGGTAACAGAGCAAGACCTCAACTCCAAAAAAAAAAATTAAAGTAAAACTGCTAAAGGCATAGGTGTGTTTGTCACTTTCCCATAACAGTCCCTTGAGTCCTCCAGAAGTGTACAAGTCCAGCTTTGTCTCCACACTCTTTTTTTGTCTTTTTGAGTCCGAGTCTCTGTTGCCCAGGCTAGAGTGCAGTAGCACTCTCACAGTCACTGTAGCCTCCACCTGCTGGGCTCAGGCGATCCTTCAACCTCAGTCTTCAAAGTAGCTGAAACTACAGGCACGTGCCACCACACCCAGTTAATTTTTTGATTTATTGTAGAGATGAGGCCTCCCCCAAGTTGTCCAGGCTGGTCTTAAACCCGTGGACTCAGGCAATCTTCTCACCTCAGCCTCCCAAAGTGCTGGGAGTGTAGGCATGACCCACCACGCCTGACCTGTCCCGGTTTCAATTAGGTTTTCATCAAGTAAGATGAAAATGATTGGATTTTGTGATGATGACTCTGACACCTGGAGAAAAATGAACTCACTTCAGCTATCTTCAAATGAAGTCTTGAGCCGGGCTCGGTGGTTCAGCCTGTAATCCCGCGCCTTTGGGAGGCTGAGGTGAGTAGATTGCCTGAGCCCGCGGGTTCGAGACCCGCCTGGGCAGCAAGACCTCATCTCTATAATAAATCAAAAAATCAGCCAGGCATGGTAGCGCATGCCTGTAATTCCGGCTACTCGGAAGGCTGAGGCGGAAGGATCGCCGGAGCCCAGCAGGTCGAGGCTGTGGTGGCCGGGAACGGCCACTGCACTCCAGTCTGGGCGACAGAGTGAGATTCCAACTCAAAAAAAAAAAAAAAATGAAGTCTTGGCCAGGCTCGGTGGCTCAGCCTGTAATCACAGCACTTTGGGAGGTCGAGGCGAATGAAATGCCTGTGCTGAATGAAATGCCTGTGCTGACGGGTTCAAGACCCGCCCAGGGTGAGACCTTGTCTCTACGATAAATAAAAAATTACCTGGGCGCGGTAGCACGCACCTGTAGTTCCAGCTACTTGGAAGGCTGAGGCTGGAGGATCACCTGAGTCCAGCCTGTCGACTGTCAAAGCTACGGTGGCCGGGAGCGGCCACTGCACTCCAGTCTGGGTGACAGAGTGAGACTCCAACTCAAAAAAACAAAAAAAAAAGTGAAGTCTTACTCACCAGGTGAACAGTAGAATGGAGCTGAGAAATGGTCTCTTGGCTCTTCTGCTTGGCTTCTCTGACCCTGCTGAGAGCCTGTTGGTAGGCGCGTGATCGGAGCTTGGTGGACAGTGATCCCAGTCTAACATAGTAACTTGGCTTTGGAACCACATCAAATCCTTCAACTTTTGTTGCTTCCTTTTCTATAATTAGAAAGAGGGGACAAAAAACCTTAAGAGCCGCAGTTAAGTGATAAGGCCTGGACTCTAACCTGGGTCTTGTCACTCTACCCCACCACCAAGCAATTAGGCAATCATTTTCCCAAGATTGCTCACGTCTGTGGCTGGGCGTGACCACTACAAACATTACTGTATGTGATATATATTAAATGTATCTACACGTTTCTTCCCACTAAAGTGAGCTTCTCTGAATAACACACCACCTGCCACAGAGTAGATGCTAATGTGCCTACAATAATGATTTTTTTAAATGAGGATTTTATAAAGGAACCTCTTCAAGACAATCCATTTACAGAAAATATTTTTCAGGGCTAATTTTTTCTAAACTTTCAAGTGAAACTTAAGATTGCTTTAAGAAGGAAACTCTGGCTGGGCGCAGTGGATCACACCTGCAATCCCAGTACTTTGGGAGGCCGAGGCAAGAGGACTGCCTGAGCTCAGGGCTTCAAGACCAGCCCGGGCAACTTAGTGAGACTTCGTCTCTACAGTGAGTCAAAAAAATCAGCTGGGCATGGTGACACATGACACATGCCTATGGTTCCAGCTACTCGAAAGGCTGGAGTGGAATGATGGCCTGAGCCCAGCAGGTTGAGACTGCAGTGGCCATGAGCAGCGTGCCACGGCACTCCAGCCTGGGTGACAGAGTGAGACTCCGACTCAAAAGAAAAACAAAGGAAACTCTACAGAGACAGAAAGTTTCATAACTGCCTCTGGGAGGAAATGTGGATTGACTGCAAACAGGCAAGAAGGATCTTCTGAGATGGCAGCCATGCTTTAAAACAAAACTGGAGTGATGACTGCACAACTCTGCAAATTTAGACGGAAGACAAGTATGTTTCCTTTTTTTGTTCAACAGAAGCTTCTTTACGTCAGCTTTTGAGTTCTTTTGACCCAACTCCCAGTGACCTATAAAGGGATCTTAAACTTTAATGGTATTATTGTTACTTGTAATAAAGTTACTTTGAAAGCCGGGCTCGGTGGCTCAGCCTGTCATCCCGCGCCTTTGGGAGGCTGAGGTGAGTGGATGGCCTGAGCCCGTGGGTTCGAGACCCGCCTGGGCAGCGAGACCTCATCTCTACAATAAATCAAAAAATCAGCCGGGCGTGGTAGCGCATGCCTATAATTCCGGCTACTCGGAAGGCTGAGGCGGAAGGATCGCCGGAGCCCAGCAGGTCGAGGCTGCGGTGGCCGGGAGCGGCCACTACACTCCAGTCTGGGCGACCAAGTGAGACTCCAACTCAAAAAAAAAAAAAAGTTACTTTGAAACTACTTTTTAAAAATGTAATTGATTACAGCAAATAAATAATTATGTTCATATTGTTAGATTTTTCGGTGTAAGAAAAATAAGACAGATATAAGCTTAAATAAACAAGTAAAGGCACAATTCTAGAATAAATCAGAAATATCAATATGAATTTATCATTTTTTAGCATATGTATATGTATACCTTTCATCTGTCTGCATCTGTCTGCTTAGTGGCCTAGAAACAATGTTGCCCACTAATATTAATGAGAGTTCACAGTGTCCATATATTCATTTAAAATTCCCCACAAGCCGGGCTCAGTGGCTCAGCCTATAATCCCACACCTTTGGGAGGCTGAGGTGAGTGGACTGCCTGAGCCCGCGGGTTCGAGACCTGCTCGGGCAACTTGGCGAGACCTCATCTCTACAATCAATCAAAAATGAGCCGGGCGTGGTAGC